ACGCTGCAACGCGACACCGCACGGTCCGCACGCACCGTCGGAAAATTTCGAGAAGCGGCCTGCGCGGCGCGGCGGGGACGCGCGCGCGTGGAGCGAGGAGCGGATTATCCGACGCGGCGCCGTCGCCGATCATCTTAATCAGCATCACCGCGCGTTATCTCGCGTTTGGGCGATACACGCACGTTCCGTCGTCACCGGACACCGGGTACCGAGAACAGCGGTTCCGTTATCGTCGGCAACGATGCAACTGCAACGACGGGTCGCCGTTGACGCACCGCGTCATCGTCGTTGTCGTCGTCGTCGTCGTCGTGTCTCGTGCGTTTCTCAAAGTGCAGCGGATGCACTTCGGCGCGGTTGGATGCTGACGACTTTGTATTCTCCGTGCGCTCGCCGCGCATCGGCCGGCACAAATAATCTAGCGCTGATTACAGCCGGAGAAGTCTTCCTTCTCCCTTTGCCACCATCCCTCTTATCGGCCCCGATTTTTTCGGTATGCAAAACAGTTGTGGCATACTGCGCGGGGTTTTATCTCGATCGACGTCTCATTGTTTAAAGTTTGTTACGGCAGGAAGAGAAAGAGAGAGAGAGCGGTCCTGCTCTTGCGGGTTGAGCGTGTACGGGTATTGTGGGTGTTTCGAGAATCCATCGTGTTTAGATCGGCCTTATCTTTCGCGCGATTTGGAGCTTATATACTTCCGCTCGGATACGCGCTCTGTGTCGATAATTATGGTCGACCGATATCAATTATTCAAGAGCGCACGCAATCGTTATCTTTCTACATAAATTGCTACGCAGCCATCGTTGTGATCGCGCTTGTGAAAAAAAAAAAAAACCGATAAGTCAGAGAAAACTGGATTATGATCTAATAGTATAATTCATAATTGTTATTATTGTAATTATCATCAGACATCGTATATCATTACTGTTATATATACAAATTATTTGTCCTTTTAATTCCTATTACGTGGTAGAATTCTCATCTAACGTTAATCATTTTCTATCAGCTATCATCTGATAGTAAATAAGTTAAACACTACGTAAATAATTTTTTAAAATTCACTTAGCCCCCTTTTTTGGAGTGGTCTGCGTTTTATTGAGCGTGCGCGTTATATCGTATCGAAATGAGATAGTTAAATCGCTCGATAACAGCTCCCGGGAGAGGACTATGGTCCCCGTATTTGACGTTTTTTGTCTGTTGCAGACGCCCACGAGACGCCCCTGTCCCGAGGGGCTCGTCAGGACGCCGCCCCTGCATACGCGAGATATTCATTTAATTTCCGACTATGTATACGTTAAGCACTTAAACAATTATGGTCTTAATCCTCGTTTATTATTTTTTCGTTATTATAAACATTATTGTAAATAGAATTAAGTTCCTTTTATAATCTATTTACTAGAATCAAGTCCATATGCATTCAATCCAGTGTTACTCAGAAAATATGTAGCACGATTACTAAAATGAGACTTAAGCTAATCTATAAAGAGTTAAGTCGCATTAAGATAAGTTTTTTAAAATATTTTAAATTATTACTTGGTCCTTGGACTTAAATTATACCAATAAAATTGGTATGATTCAAAATTATTACAAAATTGTTTATTATGACAAACAGTGTAGTTGTGAAAAAATAATATACATAGTACCTGAAGTTTATCGTACTTCATCTTATTGTTATATTATATAGTATAACGTCGGATTAAAGTATAAAGATTTGAAATGTTAATAATTTCAAGAGACTGGCTTTTTATTCCCTTTTATATAAATCTTATTTACCTAATTATATTAATTGAAAAAATAAATTAATTGGTAAAATCTGTCTTCTACTAAATCTATTTATAAATACATTTTTAATCGCTTTGATATTTAACATAGTAAACAATTTAAATATTGATTCCGGTGAAAGAGCCATATGTGCAAGATATTAAATGAGATACGGTGCGCGAAGAACAGCGTGCGCGCGCGTTAATCCGGAACAAAATTTACTCTTCTATGTTTTCAGATAAAAAGGTCTGTTCGTTATTAAAAAGCTTCTCCACCTTATATTCTATCATCCAGAATAATTTTTAGCCGAGTAAAAACATTTTATTACGTTGAAAATCTATTGTTAAACGCGTTTTTCTTGAAACGATATTTTTCTGTAGTTTTACCATTATTTCTCTAAAAGGATAAGATAAATATTAGAATGTTTCTTTTTTAAATTTTGTAAATTGAATTCTCTACAAATTAAACCCAAATATTGTTAGAAAAATGGTTAATTTTCTTAAACAATTGTAAAGCAGAGTAAAAAAATTTTTGTTTAATCCATAAAAATCAATAAAAATTTTACCGAGAAAAAAATTCTGCTTGTCACGTTTCAATATTTTGTCAAACTGTGATAAAACAAGAAAAGTCACTTTTTTCATACTGTATTTTTAAATAAATAAACGCTTGCAATAATCGACATCATATTTTCTTCCTAAATGTATAAAAAAGCTATTATAAAAATAATTTCGATTATATTTATTGTATAATTTGCAAGCAATTTACCGCACCATAATTTTTTCGTGCTTACAGGTCTCACATCTCCTTAATGTTTCAAAAACTGTCGTTATCACTGTTCCCGGCTAACGTGGAAATAAAATCCATCCTTAAACAAAATATATTTTCTGCTGACTGCACATTAGTAGAAGTGTCAGCGAGGAGTGCCTTCATCGAAGGATATATGGATCCGGCCGATCCATGCGAATCGTGGTTACGGTGTTTTCTCGCGAGGGAGGAAGTGGGAAGCACCACCGTGGCAGGACCAGTACACACGTCATGCCACGGGGAACGTATCGAATTTCTTATGGCTTCTGTGTATTCCCATGGACAACGGCAGGGGGTCAGAGATGCGTGCACGTTCTACGAAGTGTTCGCGAATTAACGCACCCGTCCCAAAGCGTTCAAGGATCATGGCAGAATGATGAACCATCGGTACCTACATAACGTTCGTCGAGTTCAATTTTAATTTTTAACGTTACAAGAAAATGTAAAATTCATCTTTGCATCTATGTATATCACGAAAACTTGAATTAAATGAAGATTCTTTTAGTTTCAAACTCGAGTTCACACAAGAGACGTATTTTATTAAATCATTTTTGTTGAACGCGAATGATTCGCGGAAATATAATCTATAAGAGAAACGTGTGTATGTGTAACTCGCGAAAAGTTTGCGCAGATCGAATTGATCGTTCGAGACTGATTATTTCCAGAGTAAAGTTCGTATCCAAGAATTTATGGTCACCCTAGGCATACTCATGACGTTAGGTCTTACAGACCTATCTGATGGCTTTCCGGATACGCGCGTATGGCATCATATTTGCCGCATATTAATTACAGGAAATCCCGCAAAGCACCTATGCTCCTGAATCACTTTAATATCGCATAAATATCCGTTTAATTATTCCCATCCGCGTGATTTCGCGAACATTTACTCGTCAGAATTACTTTAAAAATCCATGTACTTTAAAAATCCATCTTTAGCTCAAAAGAATTTTTGGCAACTAATAATTGTTTTAATATCATACTTCAACTTAATTCATTACAATAATTATAATTTGTTTAGTTTACAATTTAATTTTAATTAGAACGGAAAGCGAACGCTAATAAACAAAAAAATTTTACATTTTGAGACAAGATTGAATGTATACACAGAGATAATTTTTCGTTATATTTTACCGTTTAAATTCACTACACTTGGGACAACTTGGCAACCAAGGAATTTTTAAAATATACAAAAGACATTTTATAACGTAATAAAAATTACCAAGAAAATTGGTAATTTTTAAAAAATTATTGAAATTTTACTATATATTTTAGTAAAATTAATCAAACATTTTTTATTTTATTGTAATAGATACATTTTTTATTATGGTAAATATTAATCAGAATAGCTCGCATAAAATTCTTCGTAAATACATGTCATCCCACAAGTACCATGATTTTCAAGGTAAATTCTAAGAGAAAAGTGTCTCTGTGTGTGTGTAGTTCGACATACAATATTCAAGAGTTTCTCTTGCAATAAACTTATATTCGGTCTAAAACCGCTAATGAACCGATTGACAAGCCTGGCATATACTTTCGATTATCGATGACTAGCCGTCAAAGTGCTAAATTTCGCGGAAGAATTCGCAGGAGATTGGCTCTGTCAGTGGCCCAGATGGCCCAGCTGGTACTTATTTATTTATTATTCCCTCGCTCGCTCGCTCGGCGAAGAAAAGGACGGCCGCGCGCACGAGCATGCATGCATGCATGCGACACGATGCTCTCGCGGTGGAAGGCATCGCGTTACGTACATAGTTATGGGGCCTCCGCTCGTTTCTAAAATCGGATGTAGAGCAACGACCTTCCAAACAACACGGGACTCCTACGGGCCGCGCGCTTCTATCCGCGAGAGACGAAAATTCCACGCTAGCGCGTCCGTCAATTGTACATCTGCGTACCGTCGGACGCGTAAAAATATATATTGCCGGATATCATTTACTTGACAAAATATTTAATAAAACGATGGTTTGTTAAGCGATCTTCCAATCCGTCGTATTTATTAATATATTTTACTAATTGCGTTATCTTCGTGTGGCTACCTTGAGCCATCCCTGTTAATATCTCCTATTACACATGGGGCTTAACATATTTCTATTTAATCTGTTTAATAAGATACTTCAACAGTAACAGTTTAATATTTTTTTAGTTTAAATAAAAAGAGAACTCTGGAACTCCCATTGACCCAATTTGACAGCCGCAATATTTTCTCTTAGAGTATTCGTTTTCTAGCGCATTACAATCCTTACTTTTCTTTATTTATATTTCTAGATAATTAGATTTTTGCATACTTGTGTCTATTTCAGAGAACTTTTTTTTTATAATAAAATGCATTCCTTTCCATCTTTCGGTTCTAGCGAGGCGCGTGTCTGATATCCCAATGACAATTCAATTTACGTAATTAACTAAGCGGAAAGAGTCGCCTCCGGCGTCAAAAACTCACCTATGCTCGGCGGCACGGTCTCTCTGTCTCCTGTTTTTGAACCAATTACTGACTTGCGTGGTGGTAAGGCCGGTGCTCTCCGCCAATTCTCGCTTCTCGCGCGGCGACGGATACGGATTGGTGGCGTACCAATCCCTCAGGACGCTCCTGGACTTTTCCTTGAAGCAGTAAGACGTCTCCTCGCCGTCCCAGATCGTGCGCGGTAAGGGAAACTTACGGCGCACCCGGTACTTTCCTGCAAAGTGAAAGATGAATCCTTTTGTAAGTCAGGACTACTATATTCTCTCTTTCAGAGAAAACATTGAATAGAAGTGCAATTTTAAAAGCGTCGCTGGTACGCTAGTCTTAAGATTGCAGTGCCGTCAGAATACCGTCGCGCAAGTCTATACCTGTATCTTTAAATATACACATTTTGAGGCCTCCAAGATAAATATTCTTGGGTGAAGCCTGGCGAGTGAAATTCTCATCGCGAACGCGGATTCGCGACGCCGCGCCGGGAAAAACGGAAGAGGAAGCGGCGGAGTGCGTTATGCACTCCGATTCTCTCAGCGTGCTCACAGAGGCACGCTTTGTTTCTAGCTTCTCTTTTTTGGGGGACGGATTTGGTTTCTGGGCCGAGTGCAACGACGTCGTCAGCTTCACGCGCGCGAGACGCGCGACGTTTGCGAATAGGATCGAGCGGGTAAAATAGGGCCAAGTCTATACCGCTCATTAGAGCTCGTACTTGGTGCGTACGGTAATAACTTTGTTCGTTTTGTTCGTCCGTTTGGCTGTTAATGATGATGAAATCGTGCGGCGTGCATTCCGGCACGCAATGTCCTATAGGCGCGAAAATTAATGCGATGCGCACGCATCGTATTATCCGCGGAATATTTTATGTCGAGAGGTTGGATAAACTGCTTATAAATTATCACACACAGCGTATTAAAAATTACAGACATTTCTTTATGGGATATACCAATAATAAAATGTTAGCAGTATTTATACAATAATAGTAACATATTTACATTAATAGTAACATAGTAACATATTTCGAGAAATAATAAGAATAATTAAAAATCATTAATTTAATGAGAAATGTGACGTACATATAGGTATTTTCTAATCTTTAACAAAAAAACTTAATCATTAATCGGCGTTACTAACATTTCAAGTGAAGATTGGGTGGTCACTGAAGTTATATTTTTTCAAGATCTATAAAGATATTTCGCTAAACCCGAATAATCGTTGATAAAAACGGGAAATACTTATTTTAAAAAATGATCAAGATGAGAAATTAGCAATTGACAATTACTAGGAAAAATGTTACATTGTCGAATTTGCTCGGAATAATTTTTACCGATCTTACTACTTATATACGCAAGAAAAAAATCGTTGAAAAATTCTTACTAACCAACTGCGCCGAGGGGCCTTCCGCGCAGCCTCTCGGCTTCGATGTAGTGGGCCTTGAGCCAGAGAGCCTGCAGCTTCGGATGATTGTTCGGGCTGAAGGTGTGGCTCTCCAGGATCCTGTAGAGCTCCTTGAATTGGCCCCGATGGAAGGCGACGATCGCCTTGGCCTTGAGTACGCTCTCGTGCCGGTGCAACCTGGTGCACGCCGGCAGAGACCATAGGAATCGGCTGAGCCTCTCCACGGAGCCCGCCTGCTGAAGAACCTGGACATTCGACACCATCGCCTTGAAGACGATAGACAGGGGGGGCACACTGTTAGTCGGCAAAACTCATCCCGGGTCTCCTCTTATTCTAGTGTATCTTGTATATGTCTCATATTCACCTCTTTCAACTGATCGTTTCGTTCAAGGAAGATGAGTCGGACAACTACCGGTGACTAACAGGTCAGTCGGGACAATTTCGTGTAAAGGGGAACGGTGAGAACTAGGATGAGAATGGAAGATTACAGCAATTGGCAATTGAAACGTTTATACATCTATATATATTTTTAATCCCAGGAAAAATTAACCTTTAAACGAGAGAATTAAACTCAGATCAATCCTCTTATATCATAGAATTTTCAAGCCGAGAAAATTAACTTAAATTTAATTTCTTTAGTTTTGAACAAAGTAGTGTATACAAGTCATTGTTATATTTAATTTAATTATTCACCGTATTTACACAATACAAGTTAAAAAATTATAAAAACTGAGGCATAAATCGGAATACTATAAAATAATGTAAAATTACACAAAGACTTTAAAGCCTTTACAAATTTAAATAATAATTTGAATTAATCCTGATTAAATACAATTTGTAAACTGAAGTAAACGTCAATTTTAACAAAAACCAGTTTGAACGGGTACAAGAATGCCTTGGTTAATTATTTTATTAAAACTCCTCTTTCTTTAAAAAGAAAAAGCTGACGTAGCTTCAGATGGAACTGATTTGGTATATTTGGAATTTTTAATCTTTTCCTTGAAACAAAGATATTATAACGACTATTCAGATTATCTTAGGTATAGTTTTATGTATTGATATAGCACTTTTGATAAAAAAACTAGTTAGATCTGGAGATCTAAGATAGATTTGTTACATGCCCGATTATTTTTTTTCTCTCAACAAAACTAGTGTCTGTTTAAAATCATCGCGCGCATCAATAAAGAGGCTGAAAAATTGGTCTAATAAAGGACTTGAAAGCACTTTCTTAAAACAGTTATTAAATCTTCCTCAAAAAGATCAATTTAGAAGAATTTTGGGATTATAAAATAAATTTTGTAAAAAATTGAATGAACTTCAATATAATATCGGGATAAGGTTTCAGAAGTTCGAGGAGAATTGAATCAGGATGTCTACCTTCTATGCCGATATATTAACGGTTGATTTTCAATTAATAAAATTTTTGCGAGCAAGCAGAAATGAGTCTTCGTGTTTCGGAGCGATTAAAATAGTCTTAGATATTTTCAGAATATATGAAATATTTTCGGATAGTCGGTGGTTCCTTATGTCAAGATGTTAGAATTCATATAATCATAAGCAAAAATTCTGTATATTTAGTTCGTATATTTCCATTAGAAATATAAATATATCACGCAATACAATAATGCGAAGTTATGGAATGACGGGAACTTTAATAATAAAATTATGAAGCACGGAAAGCCATACAACTATAGTTTGAATAAAATAATATAATTTGACAGAGAGAAAATCTAATTATGTGTAAAATTACACCCGACATATCTTTGACGTTTAACATCAGTATAATTTCTCGAAACGACTATTAATGAACTTAAACGATCGCGTAACACGATCCTAAGTGGAACTATACATCAATTTTATTTCGTCGTATACTTCAGTTCGTTTTATCGGTACGAATCATGTTATCCCTTTCGCGCGTTCTCCCGTTGACATAATTAACCACCGAGGATTCCGTTTGAGAAATGAGCTATCTATTTGCCAGTATCCGCATATATGTCTGCTTTGCGTCAATGACGTTTATTCGATATCACGCGCGCACTATATATTACCAATCTAGATATCACCGTATTACGTATCTTTAATTTATACAACTTTGTTAAAAGCGCGATATTATCATAAAATCGATACGTTACTGGTACGTGTAAACTTTATTGCAATACAAAATCTATGCACGTGTAAATAGTCATTCGACTCTATAATTGGTTCTTTCAGTGACACGAACACAAAAATTTCACATTGTATCCATTTATATTTTTTCCCCTATATTTTTGAATAATCATATATTAACATTAAGTTTAATTTCATATATTAAATCAAATTAATAAATATCTCTTGAGAAGAAAATTGATATCGCGAGAATCTCGAGATTTCCTTCCAGCGCACGAAATTAATTGCCGAGAATCCGTCACGAAATTAAGACGTTATCGATCCTATGCAGACGAGTGTCTTATGATCGCTCAATTAGCAATATGAGCTCTATGTACACCTGTCATCTTTGTCTGCTCGCTGTCGTCGCCGGATGTCGCCGAATTTTCCACGATACGGCCGATTAATCTCACCGCGTGGCGCATAATGAGGAATGAGTATCACGTCACCCGAACGAAGAGAAATGTACGACATAGATCTTAAGATTGGATTAACTGTCAACGATGCTGATGCTGATTAGAAGAACCGCTGTTACGCGAGTTTATTCCCCCCCCCTCTCTTTTAGAACTGGACAACGCAAACAATTGTGTAACGCATAACAATTTTTTATGTACTAGACATCACAGACGCGCGCGCTATTTAGCTTTAACCCTTCGTAGTCACTCTTGGGTCAATATGACCCACACTCATTTGAATCTAAATATCAGCTAAATGCCTAGCTTAAAATGAGACTTGGTCCACCATCTACAAGAGTGATAGTTTGAAGTATCCTCTATAGGTAGAGACTGTTAATCTCATGTAGGTACTCGTTCACGATTTTTTTTTTGCCACTTGATTTCTCACAAAACCGCAATTGTTTTATATTCTAGAATGTTCAAGGTATGTTCCAAAATTATTTGAACCCGATCGGACCGATACCATTAAAATAGCAACCATTAAAAATCGCCTGGGTCAATACGACCCAGTGTGACTACCGCGGAATTCTAGAGAAGTGTCTACGAAGGATTAACATTATACTATTACTGTTACACTATTAACCCTTGATACATAAAACTGTCAAAATATGCGATGACAGATGCTCACGTAGTCAGCGCAACGAGAGAACCAATCGGCATCGTGGAAAAATGTCAACAATAAAATTTCTTACACGGCTTTTTTATGAGCGAAAATAATACATTAAAAATTGAATGTATAAAAAAAAAATAATCCGAAATAAAGAATCTTTCCGCTTTATTTTCATTTAATAGATGAACAAATATTTAAATCTTCTCGCTGAATTTTGAATATGATTGAATGCAATATATACAAATAATTACACTATCTAATTTTTATTCGATAATACTTGCTGCATATAGACATTAAAATTATTGGGATCAAAAAAGATTGAACCTGAATTAGATATTATAATAATTCAATATATCGGATTAAGCTGCTAAACTGGGATTGAAAGTCGATGTTCTTAGAATAATTTATCCTCCAGATTCGGGAGGGAATCATTCAGTCCTATCATTTCTCTTTTTCTCATGTGCAAAATCAATTCCGTTGATATTCGACAAGAATTGGATCGGCCGACACCCGGTGAAACGTTTCGATTTCATTTATGCTTTGAAAAGGGAACTATCGAATGGGCACCTCGAATGATACAAGACAACTAGCGCCCACGTGTCACAGCGTATGGCAACAATCGCAATATTTTTGAACGAATCGATACGCGATAGCGACCCCAATATCACGGGTCAGGATTCATGCACGGGCCTTCTCGAAGGGCCCTCGCATTTCTCAAAAGTTCCAATCGCAGAATTTGAGCGCCATAATTATCTGTGCGACGTGGGCAAGGAGTTAAAGTCTAGCCGCATAATTATAGCGCTAGTACAGGGATATGCACGTGCAAGAACGCGTCGTGCAGCGATGCAATCTGCGGCCGATCACTTCCGCGTTTGGCAAAACCCATCTCTTCGCACGCTCGTTATCTCACGTGTGTGCTATGATCGCCGCACGTTTCAATCGTTCGTGAATATTTTCATCTTCTATAGTGTACGAAGAATAGAAATTAACTCTTAATATTCACGTGGCGAGTACGCCTACGCGGCATAAGTAAAAAAGTCGAAAATTAAATAGACGACGCAACAACACAAAAATCTAAAAGGCATATCCAAGGAATATTCGAAAGATTAAGATACATTTGAAACACATGTGGGCGTTTATATATCGCTTGGATTCAAAAGCATATCGCAATAAATCTTTTGTTGCAATGTCACATTTTCATAATTAGTTTATCTATTTTTTTTCATCTACAATCCAAACTTATATTTCTTGATTTGAAAAATTCAAATATATTTAAGAGTTAATTTACTAGATTTATTTTAGTAAAGATTTGTGTGTATTTAAATGTTTAATTTTATTGATAAACCTGATGATAAATCAAATAAATATATCGTTCGTTGTTTGCATCCCGATGTAGCTTGACGAGTGCGTGCAGTAAAGAATCGGTGAAAATTTTGCCAAGCGTGAAAGAAATCGCCTTTCTCTCTCTCTTTCTCTCCTTCCCCTCTATATTTCTCTCGAACAGGACGAGTTAACATGTGGGACGTTCGATATGAGAGACGTAAACGTCGCGCGCAAAACAATTTACGGTTACAGTAAAATCGTGCAGATTCCATTAAGCGTGTGACATGCAAGCGAATCTTGGCGCATAACGCTGCACATTGTCGGCGACGTAACGACCGCACCATCGCGGCGGCAATTTCATCATCGGGACGTAGATCCACGCCGTTTCCACACTTCAAAGCGGCAATCAACACGACGGCGGGATTTGCGTGTGCACTCAACATATCGAGGAGAAGCAATTCATTCCAATTTGCAACATTAAAAAAGCAACTTGCATACGCGAAATGGAGATTTTCATGACGTTTATCGCGATTAATGATGGAATTTAATGATGTCGCGTTTCAATAAAGCGAAAGGCCGGCAAATCGACCGGTATTATTCGCCGAGGAAAGTGCAGCGCGAATGCTAGCCAAACTCGCCATCAGCGGCTCATTGTCAGCTGTGCGTCGCGAGTATCGCGCGCAGATTTCTGGCAGTCCTTGTACGTTGTTTTTGTTCGCACACACAATAACGTTAAGAGAGCAATAGTTGTTTTCTCTTTCTTGGAACGCGAAAGAGTTTGGTGCAAAACATTTATAAATTGTCTAGTCGCACAAAGCCGGTTCTACAATACTTAGCAAACGATGGCAACTGCTAATTGAAAAGTGTTATTTCTTATTGCTGATTGCCGGTTACTGTCGCCAAAAAAGTTAAAAGTTCGCCAACTCTCTTTTGACAAGCACAACATGGAAATAACACTTTTCAACTAGCAGTTGCCATTGTTTGCGACGTATTGTAGAACCGGCTTAAGGATCAATTGTACCACATAATTATCTAGATGTAACATCAGCGTTCACCTCGCAACGTTATTGTGAAGGACGTTTATATCTATACTTTTAATTGGAATGTGAATAGACTGCTTTCTATAAACGCGACGCACAGCATTGAGCAGCAGCAGGCGCGGGTTATGCAGCTAAAGATCCTCTAATAAGAGTCACGAAACAACGTCAAATTTAGATTGTAAGTATCAAACAAGACGAATGACATTTGAATGATGCTTAGAAATCATCCTGATTTATCAGATGTTCTTTGATTCTTTGAATGGTTTTTTTTTGAAGACCGATTCCTTCGCCATGTAAATTAATTTGAATCTTAATGTGATCTAATTGTTACATAGGAACAAATAATTAAATTACAATTCAATCATTAAAGCACTTCTATCACCGAAATTTTTTTGCACAGCCTCAACTATAAATGCACTATATTTACAATGTATTTATATTTTAGATTGTTATAGACTGTTGGCTGTACTGTTGACAATTTGGGAATGAACTACCTGAGTATTTGAGCAAAATTCCGAGCATAAAAGATAGGCGCTCACTTACAAATCCCAGAACCTAAAGGGTTATCAATGTCGAAGGAATCGGCTCTTCGCTTCCTCCTCTCCACTTTTTCTCCTTTCAACTGTCCTCTCTTCTGTCTACTCATTTACTTAATTACCTTTTTCGTGGCAATCTTCTAGCAGACCCGGACTTTCCGGACTTGCTCGGTGTTACTCGGTACATTTTCGTGTCTCTTGTCGGAGGAGCGCCACGAAACGGGCAATCACACGACTTACCTCGCAGACACACGCGACTTGCTCCTGCGTGAAGCCGAAACTCGGCAGCTGGCCGTTACCGCTGCCCCCGGCGGAACTCGCCGGGCTGTCCTGCGGGCTGTAGCTGGCCGCCCCGGTCGCGCCGGGCGTGTAAGCGTTCTCCACCGTGCTGCCCGTCGTCGAGTGCCCGGTCAAGGGAGTGGGCGTGCTCTGAGGGCTGTAGTCGCCGGCGGCGGTACCCAGGACATCCGCGCCGCTGCCACCGCCGCTGCCGCCGCCGCCGCCAGCTGACGGGCCCATCGCGCCCCCGTTACCAGCGGTGCCCCCGTAGGCCATCATGGCTGCGTCATCTCCGGGGTCCACGACGACCCCTCGCACGGCACCGCCGCCCTCCACCGTTGTGACGCGATCGTCCTCCCCGCTTCGCGTTCGCGACCGCGTCCGCGACCGCGACGGACCGCGTCGGGTTCGCCGCTCACGGGTTCCCCGATCCGACGCTACGCGCGAAAGGGAGCCCCCCTCCCCTTCACTCGCCGCTCATCTTCCGCGGGGTGAACCCTTCGCGGGGATCACTGCGGGTCCTTGGGACGTCCGAACGAGGGCATCGCGCGACGAGCCGATCGACGATCCAAGATTTTTTACGGGAAACGATGTCTTGACTCGATGTGGATTATCACAAACTTAAATTGACTAAATCCTTTTAAAAAAACGGTCTACAGCTACTGTTTAAAAAGACGCGGCGAGTCGTCACAACTCAGACTGGACCAGTTCAGGTTAGTCCTATTATAAATAGCGATTTTTGTATACCGTGTTGAAAGATGGCGAGCAACGAAATCTGACAAATAATTAGAGCCGCTAATTGATCTAACAATTGATAGTGCTCCGATGGCACACTTGCGCTGCTTGTCAAAACTGATCACCTGCAGTTTAACGAGCTGGCTTTTAATTACCGTTACCGCCTCAAATGTATCTTTTCTCTTTTATGTACACTCGACGTTCCTCAAACACTTGCGTAACGTTACTTGTCATAATCATTGGTTAAATCATAATCAACTAATTTGAACAATTGAACGTGTGAATTCATAGATGTTGCACTATGCTATGAAGCTTCGAAGCAAGCACTGTGAAGTTCTTTTACATTCCGTTTGACGAACCGTCGATGATCGTGTCGGGATGATCGTACGTCTCTCCAAGGCATCGGTATTCATCGGTCCACCAACCGGTTGCGCTCGAAATGTTCGCGCGACAGATCGATCTCGTTCGATCGAGGATTGTGCGAAAATTCGGACGATCAGCGAGCGATATTTTTGGATTGCCAGCTGACCGGCAAATGTCGCAGTCGAAAAAATTCTACGAAACAATGAGATCCTCTCCAGAATCAGTCTTGTGAGCAGCTTCGAGCCGACGGTTAGCGGATTCACGGATTCTTACTTCTTTTTGGATCATGCTCGCTGATCTCTGCAATTTGGTGTATTCACGCTTCAAAAATCGGCAAAAAAAAATGCGATTCCAACGTTGCTGGATGTCTTTCTCGGGGGTTTTCACTAGGACGTTGCTTGGCAAGTAAAAATATAATTTCAAGCGGAAAGAGTCAAATCAACACACCGGGCGATAATCCTCAATTCGCTTCCGTCGAGTCTCGCCTACCGTCTTGGCTCGCGTCCATTCCTGGAAATACTTGTGGAACTCGCACAGTCGTTAGATCATCATTCCCGTTGAGAACACTTCTGCCAAATTGATCCGCGATCAAGAGAGATCCGTCCATCCATCCGCGCCGAGCAGTCGTTCCCCGCGCACCGTTTCTTCCGACTCGCCGCTCTTTCTTCCCGTCTCGTTCTCACTGCCGCGCCGGCACACACAGGTTGCACCGTGAAATCCACGGGCTCGTATTTCCACGGGGCCAGCGATCGTATTTATAGACCGCTTGGTACACTCGCGAGCGCGCCGCTATTATTAGAGGCGCCTTAACGAGCGTCTCCCTCGCTCTCCTTGAACCCCATCGATGCCTCCTCTCGTCGCGGATGCTCTCTCTTCACGAAAATGCCACCAAACCGCTTCCACCTTCGAATTCCCCACCGTCTCGAACGCCACTTGACAATTTTAACGACGCCTATCTGTACGGATAATAAACGCGACGCCTCTCTTCGCTCTTCTTAACGAAGTAATAGGGCAATAGAGATAATCCTCCTTGGTCGTTGCATTTTCACATTCTCATTCCAAACACTGTGCGTCCAAGAGAGATGACAATCGTCACTGATTCACTTAAATGATCGCTGGTGCGATGCAAGCTAAGAATCTGATCCTCGAGGAACGTTCGACGATCGTAGTCTTTCGGTGTCACGTCTTCGGGTAGAACGGGTGTGCTCGGAAAATTCCACTCGGCTGATCTTTTTGGTCAATTCACTGTGTTAACGCGTCGTCGTTCCGAGAGGCATACGTCCCCGATACTCATCACCGAAGAAACAACACCGACTGCGCTCGGGAGAGCCAGGGGCACCGTGACTCTCCGGCGCGGCGAGAACTCGGGAACGAACGCGCGATCGCACCCGCACGCGTTCCGGATCCGGAGTCTCCCAGAGTGATTCCGATTCGGCGATCGTGATCTAGATCCACGGCTGGACGAGCGCGGGCCTCGCGAGGTGACGGATCAATGGGCCGTTCTGTCTCTCTCGCTGCCGCGCGAGAGAGATACACTCTCCTCACGCGCGCACCAGAAAAGACTGGCGACGCGGCGTGTCGGCCAGGCGAGCCGAGTGCGTCATGCGCGACGCGGTGCGGATTGGCGAGGGGCGTGGCCAAGCTGACAGCTGCGTGACGCGCGGCGCTATTGGCCGCTGGGCATGGCCGCAGCCACCATACCGCCGCGCCATTGGTCGCGTGCGCGCCACCAAATGAGCCTCGTTACGAACGTCCGGCACGAGCGGAGAGAAACAGAAAGAGAGAAGGAGAGAAGAGAGCGAGAGAGCGAGAGAGAGAGAGAGAGAGAGAGAGAGAAAAGAGAGAAGAGAGCGAGAGAGCGAGAGAGAGAAAAGAGAGATAGAGATGAGACACGCGAGCGAATTGCATCCAGACCACGGATCCTTCCGAGGAGCTCGTTAAATTCCGGCCTTTTCTGGATGTCTGTTCTCTTAATGACGCACGCACAGCGGGGCGACGCGATTTTTACGTCGATGCATGTGGAACGTTTATCTGTATACATATAAATCTCGAAATCACGCATTTATAGAACAGTCCTTCGTCAATTATTTGCTTTTTTGTCAGACGGTTCTCGGACGGACTATAAAAAGGACGCTAAAAATGTACCCGATTGAAGGACGAAAGAAGGATGAGAAGACACATATTGCTGTTATCGCTGCAGGTTGACGGTTAAATTCTTCGCGTCGGGGTTGGAGATTATTATTATAGATTTGTCATAGAGTTGAGATTAAACGCAAAGCATCGTGGATGTAGAGTGGTAACATTTCGTAGACCAGCGATTTATTCTTAGAGGAAGGCAGAGCGAGAGTCCATCACGTTCAAAATTCAGATTCGCCGTTTGGCGAAATTACGCGATATCCGCTCGTGAGGTTAACAGCGTCGGGGCGCGATAAAGCAGTCGCTTGTGAGATTAGCGTCGCAACGCTATCGCGCTACCATGAAGCGTTAGAATCGAACGAGCCACGAGCCACTGTGGCATTATTATTCATTATGCGAGGGTGAGTTACGAGGAAAAGCGACGCGTAGGAAAATAAATGAAGGAAGCACTAAAGATCTCGTTATTAGCGTCGACTTATTAGCGGTGCTCGCGGGGTCGGCAAAGGTGGGCGAAAAGAGGTGGGAGGGAGGGACGTGCGCGCGGAACGACGGCTTGTTCTTCCCCGGGGAAAAATCGATTTATAGTACTCGCGGGGTTTTATGAACGCCCCCGCGGAAGAAAGGTAACGTCGCTCAGAAGCTACTTACAACAGAAGTTGGATAAAGTTTCACGGATAGAGCGTTCGCCCGCGTTTTTTGCGTTACTTAAGGCACCGCGCGCTTTCGTCGTCGCGCGTCGCGCGCTCGGGCTATATAGAATAACACACGTCGCGCACGGTCTGCCGCTATATAGCGAAATCCCCGACAGACCGTCCGATTTAACAGCGAAAGAAAGCAGCGATGGCGAAGTCGGCGGCACGGTGAGTTGCTATATGTTGAGAATTCGCGATATCGCCGGAGTCTTTTGAGAAGGAGCCAAAGAAAATGCGAAACGCGAGATAGACCACTATATATGATAATTCCCGAATTTTCTAAAAAATAAACTGATTTGCCGAAATGAACTACGAGAGTTTCTCTCGATTGAGGTATTCTTCATTTTCTGCATTATTATTCTAACTTCAAAATATACGTGTTTTATATTCCCTTGACACTATCTTTATTATTTCCTTTGTAAGAGAGAAAGGAAGAGATTGTGATATATGGCTTACAAAAATAAGCTTAAAAATAAGAAAATAGAAATAAATAAAAATAATTCCTAGAGAAATGTTAAGATAAATATTTTCTGTAAAGTGGGATTATAACGAAATTTTCTGAAAGATCAAGGTACTCGGATTATATATTATTGGTCTATAGTAATCATGAAGTACAAGGTATATAAAACTGCAAAGCTTGCAGCTTTTCTATTAAAAATAGAACTGGGCAAATTATATGACACGAAGCACAAACTCATATATGCGCAAGTAGGAAAACATCGCAATAAGTTGTTTTCGTAATATATTCTTTTTAATGTGGGCGCTTTGTAAAAATGTGTCTAAAATAATAGGTACATGCATGCACCGGCATAAATGGTATCCCGCGCGACGGCTAGGTATGTTTGTGCTTACATACACAACCTTGCCGCCAAGGGACACCATTTCTGCTGGTGTATACATATGCATCCCAATGGAGCATATGATAGAAAGATGCCGTTATTCACATAGATTTGCTTGCGAATCTTGGCTCTAGTAATCGTGAAATAAGTATATCTAAAACTGCAGCACAGGACAATAAGTGAAGTAACCTGGATTTTGGCCGAGGCGATGAAATCTTTCTCATGAATGTTTTCTTATATATTTTTTGATGTGCTGTCAATCATTCATTGTCAAATATTTATTTCAAGCTGATCTAATGGGAAAATAGCGAAAATCGCATTCAAAGTAGTAGAAATAATCTTATTGTATCTGAACAAAAACTTATTAAGAATATATATTTTCTTAACCTTTCTTTCTCTTCCTCCTCACCTCACCCCCTCTACTCTTACACTTAGGGTATGATCCACTAGACGCTTCAAAGCATCATTTTGTCCTTGTTTAACATTTGATAAACAACAAGGATGAAATGTTTCCAAGAGCGTTTGGAGCGCCAAGTAAATCGCACCCTTAATCTAAAGATTACCCATTCTATAAAAAAAAAAACAACCCAACCTAACCTAACTCAACACAACCAAACCTACCCAAAACCCAAAACTGCCCCAAACTAATCTGCTCTCCTCTCTCTCTTACTTCCTTTCCTCTTTCCCCTCCCCTTTCCATCCTTTCTTTTTCCTTCTCTCTATTCAGATTTCTACAAATCTGCTACTTTGAATGCGATTTTCGCTATTTTCCCATCAGATCAGCTTGAAATAAATGTTTGATAATAATTCACATAAAAAATATAAGAAAACATGCATAAGAAAGATTCCATCGGTTTGATAAAAATCAGATTACTTTATCCATCGTTCTTTATCTATTGAAACTGTGAACCTGTGCACGGAAAAAAAGATTAGAAGACTAGATTAGCTACTATAGCAAATCGTAAAATATGGGTAACTAACATTTTTGCGGCAAGAGTTATAATTTAGCAATAATAGCAAATCCTTTTGTTAAAGTTTTGCTACTATTGTTAAATTATAGCTCTCGCTGCAAAAAATGTTAGTTATCCATATTCTACGACTAGATTTGCTATAGTAGCTAATCCTTTTTTCCCGTGTGTAAATTACAATTAACATAATGCGCAAGCATGCGTGCACAAGCAGGAAAACGTTGCAACACGTTGTTTTTTCAAATGTTTCTCTCAATACGGGTTTTGAACAAATATTGCCTAAAATAATGCGTCTTATATCCCAACAGAGTACGTGAGAGAAAGATTCCGTGTGGCTTGCATTGATCTGCCTGCGAGGGCATCTGACTGACGTGGGACTGACGTTCTTCAACTGTTCGGCAACTGCGTATGGAACCCTTCTGCCCTTTACACGGTTCCTGCTCTACCGAACGATATTGGAGAACTTGAGAAAAGGACGAAGGATTCTACGTTTTGAATTGTGTCCACCAATTCTGACATTTCCCGTTGCGGATGAATCATGCGTTGCGTTTCGAAGACGCATTGATCTATCTTTTTCATGCGTCTCTATCGAGTTACCTTATGTGACGACGCATTGGATGATGCGCAGCTAATAGTAAAACTTGGAGTTATTGAAGGGTCGAATGCACCGTATGATGTTCAGAATTTCGCATCCGTCTGGATGTACCGACGGCAATGCGGCGCCGACGGATGCAATATCAAATGGGCGAGTATAATCTTCATAATTACGTCCTTCTGCGTATGTATTACATCTGTGTATATATTAATACTATTAATAAGTATATATAAAAGATTTTAAATAAATCTATTACTTAGAGAATTAGTAAAAAATATATATTATTTAGACATACGGAGAGATTTTTTTGTTATATTTTACCCTTAAATTCACTACAAACTTGGGACAACTTGGCAACCAAGGAATTTTTAAAATATACAAAAGACATTTTACAAACAACGTAATAAAAATTACCAAGCATTGATTGCCACCAACCAAAATTATTGAAATTTCCTAGATATATTTTAGTAAAATTAATCAGACATATTTTATATTTTAATGTAATAGATATTAATATTTTTTATTATGGTAGATAGTAATCAGAATAGCTCGCATAAAATTCTTGGTGGTACATGTTGTCCCACAACTACCATGATTTCAGGGTAAATTTTGAGAGAAAATTCTCTCCGTGCAGCGTTTAACAAAACTCGCGCGTTATGCAATACACAGTATTTGTTAACTCTCTGTTCCGTCGAGTGACTTGTATAATTCAATAATATCGCGTAATAATAGTTGTCCGTTGTGCGGAACTTCCTTCCTTTCGCGGTGCGCACAATCGATCCTCGGGGAAAGGAACCCCGGCGTTACGAAGACGGAATTGACACATTTTATTCGAGTTGTATGCGCCTCCCTGCCACCCGTGGCGTCGCCATTCATCCTCGGTGTACGCGGATGCCAGCGGTTTGTGGTCCACGATGAAGTCGTTGACACCATAATATGACGTTCAAGAAACCCTCCCAGGTTCATCCTAAAGAGCCGCGAAATCGACCGCTCGATCTTGCTGATGGGACAAGTCGCGCCGATCCGCATTCGTCGCGATGCCCTTACCGTCACTTTACTTCGCGTGTCTCTGATCGAGTACGATGTAAACAGTTTCGCTAAAATGAATGAAATTGAGATTGAAATGAAGATTGAAGAGTAAAGGTAACTTTAGATTTTTTAAATGAGTTTAATGGTATTATTAGTGCTGGTAACTTAGGAGATCGGAAGAAGGCTAACACAACATATGATAATATTTATTAAAACATAAAAGCATCATGTAACTCTGATTTGTATGCACATTTTTCTTCACTTATTTTAAGTACCTATATCTTATGATAAAAGCAGTAGATTAGTGGTACAGTCTTCATTAATAAATAATTAGGATAAAATAAAGCCAATAATTTTAAATTATTAGAAGGATAATAACAAATATATTGTAGTAATCGCAAAAAACTAGCGTAATAAAACAACAAAACAATAAAAATTCGAAGGAATTTTGCCAGTGACAAATTTAAAGGACCGCTCGGTTCAGATATGTTGTGCAATCAGTTACAGAGGAGCATAATATAACGATTTTGATCCGCATTCGCGTTTATGTACTCTCAATCATTATTCCAGTGTTCTCGCTCTCCGCGTTCTCTCCTGGTCGTGTACACGGCACGGCACCGCAGTGCGCATTGACATTGATTCCCTTTGTCGGGGTGCACGAGGGTGACGCGGACGCGAGAAGGACGGTTGCGTAACAATGCGAAAACGCAAGAGAGCATCCGACGAAAAGCTCGTATCGCATTCCCATAAGTGGCGGCGGGGAATCCCGCAGAGACGTCCTCACGTTCCTCTACCCCACGTCCCGCGCGTTTCAACTCCCTCGTTCCGCCTCGCGTCCCCAGCTCGCGCGCGCTCCTTCTCGCTCTTACGCGAGATGAAGGGGGAAGGCGCCAGGTAGGTGAATACACCGACGGTAGAGCAGCGGCACCGCGGTGCCCCGTGGCGAGGACTGAATAACTCGTAATTGGGCCTCCTGGCCCACCGCCATTCACGCCTCCGTCGCGCTACAAAGACGTCTCGTGAAGGAGAGCGGAATCCCCGTAAGGCCCCGCGCATTCGCGTTTCACTCGTAGGACGAGTCGCATCCGGTCCCTCGGGGAGTAATCGACGATCGTCCAAGTCATGTCGGAGAGTAATTTTATCTTACAGTCTACAGAACCTAGTTAAGTAATATCGGGGAATGATCGACTATCCATCCATGGCGAAGCAATGTCGTGAAGTAATTGATTACCGTACAACTAGAAGGATCGTAATATTCTTGGACGAAAAGGAAATACGTTCGTATATTTACTAACGTTGTATGTTCATATATGCGGGGAAAGTTTATATATCATCATAAGAGAATTGCATACTTATACGGGCGTCGCTATATTTGAACGAAACAAATGCTAATTTTTAAGTGAATTCTTTGAAAAGAAGCAAAGCACAAATGCGGTCACGTTACAAGTTATGTTCATTTTTTATTGGATCACCATTGCATTCTTCAAAAATACACGTCATATTGCGACCAAGTGGTAAAACAATTATAATAAAGTTGGTTTTTTACTATTTGCATAATAAATTATTATTTACTGTGGCTTTTGCGAGTTTTGCGTAAGATTCAATCGATTCCGGAGACCGATCGACTAGTGGCCGAATGTCGTAAACGTCATCCTCTTCGTCCTCATACTCTATTTCGACATAATTCGGCAATTCATCATCGTGAATAAAATCGTCGCTATTGGCAGAATAATTCTGAGCCATTTCACCATTGCTCATAGTTCGTTCGATAGCAAAATCATCCTGATAATCCAGTTTCGCGGTAGAAAATGATCGATCAAACATTACATTGAACAGTCTGACATCCCTGTAATTATATCGCATCAAATAACTCGTTGTTGCAGCAAATAAATGATTATTGATCACAAGTACGTGATGTAGTTACGATAAAATGGAAACGATTATTGTGAATAATCCATGAATGATCCAAATAATAATATAAATTACGAAAAACCAGATAAATCACTGATCAAAATAAAAAATATTGAGAAACATTGAATTTTTAAAGAATATTATTCTTTCTCTGAGCTACTTAGTTCTTAAGATTTGAGAACGCAGTTAACACGACATAAGTAAAATCCAAGGGAGAGTACTAACTTGGCGACAATTGGAATCTTGCTATTAATAACCCGAGATTGAATGATGAACCACTTGAATATGGTATCCGTAGAAGTGATTGATTCGTTAGGCGTACTTGCAAACTTTTCGCTATCCTTCTTCTGTTCTTTATATGAACTGATTATGCGGCCCAAGCCCGACGGCTTGTGTTCTATGGAAACCATTTTGGCTTTATTGCCCCCTTTCTCTTTCTTGAAGCCCTTCTTGCATTCATCTATCTCTTTGTATTCGCGACCTATTTGTCCCTTCATTGATTGTTCCTTGGGCTTTTTATCTTCAACAAACAATTAAAGAAATATAATTAATTAAAAATTTAATATAATAATGTTCCTCTTCCGCATAAATCATAACATAAAAAAAGATTAAGGGCTCAAGAATTCGTAAAACTCACCTTTCATGATAGATGATGTACATGGTTTCACTGAGTCTGTTTTGAGTTTCTCGTCTGCAACGAGAAAATAAAAATTAATTAAAAGTTCAGTAAAGATGATAATAAAACAGGAATTTCTGCGTAAAGAAAATGACAAGATGCAAAGAAAAGATTAAAGACACCTTGTTGATCTTTATATGTATATATTTATTATTATTATCATATTATTTTATATATACACATGTATATATAGTAATATTAAATATAACTTACTTTTCATAAATTCTTTCTTTCTACTAGTACAAAATTCTTCACGATTGGATTTTTTCGTGGATTTGCATGATTTCTTGTGTTTATCTTTTTGTGTAGACTGACAGGTTCGCATCTTGTGAATAGTTTTCTTTCTCGATATACATTTAGCTGGACCTTTCACGCACCTTTTCTTGATTTCATCTTTTTCCTTAGTCTCGCATTTTCTCCTTCGTTTCTCGCAAGACGGACTCTGTTTTCGATCTTTCTCATCTTTGCTGCAGCTAGCATAAAATCTCTGCGTTGTCTTGCTTATATTCGTGCCGAGAGCGATATCGGGAATCAAAGTGGAGAAAGATTTACGATCTTGCGAGACGGAGAAAATTGATTGTTGCGAGTAACGTCGTTTTCCGTCTACTTTGTTGCAGCTTTTATCACCGGCTCGGGAAGAATTTCTTCTGCGACAGCTGTTGGATCGCTTTCGACTGCTTCCAGTGCACTTTTGCCGCTCTTTCTCGCTGATGTCACGTTTCTTGCGTCGTTTCTCGCATTTTGGTTTACAATCATTCCTTTCTTTTATTGTATCTTTACAAACTGCACGGGGCTCATCGGATTTCTCGCAATCTTCGCGTCGTTTATATGACTTTGATTGCCGTCCTAACATATGAAGATGTTAAAGAAAAGTATATAATAAAAAATGAAAGAAAACAAGTGTAACAAGTAAACAAATTAAAAGAATAATGGAGAAAAGATATAAAAACACACAATAGGTAAAATATGAATTAGAAGCGTGAAGAATGGACAAATTGATACACATAGAATTCCAGCAAGATATACAATAATAAATGCTAAATTATTATAATGATGACAGCTAATTTTAAATTATTATAAGATAATAAAGCAGCAATAATTTCTGTCTCTATTAATCTGTAAAATTCTGAACATTCGAGATAATCAGTTTCAGATGTTTCATGAGATATCGCATGAATATTAAATTAAATATGAATATTTCTTAATAAGAATTATATTTTTATATGTTATTGTAATAATGATTATGCCGCTCCATATTACTCTTATTATACATCTTGTATCAATACCCCGTTCCTGCGAACAATCAGAATCTCTCGATTGTCGCGCGCGATCCCTCGACGAGACTCGTCCTTTCGCATCGCATTTTCGACGAGCCTCAGGACATCGGTCCGCGTCCCAACTGCATGGCTTTTGTCGTTTCAATTCGGGACACATGTAATTTTTGCACGACTTGGATTTTTTCTGTTGTCGTTTTTCACACGTATCATCTTGGGACGAGGCGCGAGTGTCTTTCCGTCGCGTTTTTCCGCAAATCTTTTTACTCTCGATCCGGCAGCGACTCTTCGCAACCTCCTGAGAACACGTGTCTTTGGTCTCGTCTTTGCGTTTCGATCGTTGCGACTTATCATCCTCGCAATCGGCGGATCTCTTCGACTTCGAAGCGTCACAGGAAAATGACTGCAGTTTCGCCAAAGAAACGCGATCTGCGATTGACAATCTCATTAAATGTCGATCGTTTAATGCACTAATATTAGTTGCGGACTAGATATAAAACGCTTATTTTTATTAAATTACTGTACGCACATACATATAATTTCAAATTGAGGCTTATTTAAACTATAAGTTAAAAACAAATGATTATCTAGGATTTCAAAACACCTGGGTGTGATCGCGTGCTTCTCAAACGAACGATTGATGTATTCGCGCTCAGATCCTTTCTCAAGGTTTTAATTTCTCGGATAGATTGCTGCATCACGGTGCAACTTCTTGAGGAGAAGACGCGACGTGGTACAGAAGGTAGACACAACGAAGACTTTCGAAAGCTTTGATTCTCCAAACTTCCGGAGTAAGCTAAATGATGAAATCGAGACGATTCGTAGCCTGCACTTTGTTTTTGTCGCATTGTCCGAATGTCAGACGCGAAGAAACGATGGTCATCACATCTTATTGCATCGTTCTCGATCTTAGAAGACTTCCATGTGTGATGCTCTCTACGAGGATATGACCGCTCCATAGAGGACCATTTTAACGGAATATTGCGCAGGATTTCTACAAGACGTAAATCTGACGTAGTGTTTTGTAAAGAGTTCGAGTGTGTTTCAATTTATGTACAAATTTGTGGAATTTCTCTACCTATTTTCGAAAACGCGGGTTGTTTCGCTGTATCTGTCGTTCCTCGCGGTTTCGTCATCGTATTCAATTGTTGCAATGTTTCGAATAAATCTCCTGATTGTTGATGTTGGAGTTCTGGTGTTTTTAATTCCGGTTTCACCAGAAACGGAGAATCCACATTTTTTACAGTGGTGCAAGTCGATAAATCATCAGTTGATACTTGTTCGATTGTGCGATCAATTCTGGGTTGCTGATCTTCTTGAAGTGCGAAAATTATTTTTGAAGCGCAGTCATCGTAGTAGACTTTATCAGACTTTATTACAGTGCTGTCATTATATACAAAACCGAAATCACCAGCCTGGATATTTGGAAGCGTTTTGCAGCACTTGCTTCTAGATACTGGATTTCCATCCAATAACTCATCGTACTTAATGAGAGGTTTTAATGTCTCTAAATGCATTTTCTCCGTATTTGTTTTGAAAGACAAAAAATATGCGGAAAATCGAGAATTGAAGGTTGTCGTTGTGATTTCAGGTGAGGCCATCCATGTGGTGAAGATAGGTTCCAAATTTATGGAGACTGTTGATAAATTAATTCTTCTTATACTCTCGTGGGCATGCTTTTGTTTGCGTGAGGAATTGAGGAAGTTCGAAAGGCAACGCTTAAATACGATCATGGGCACGTGCGTTTCATGCTGTGATTCATCGTAATAAAGAAAAATATTATCCAATCTATAAACACATTTACTGAATACTTTTATCTAATTTAAAATATTTTTAGTTCTTGTATATTTACATATATTACATATAATTGTTATATATTATATTATATATTATATATAATTGTTATATTTGCGTACATTCCTATCTACAGGTTAGTCTTTTGATATTAAATTTGACATATGTATCATTTTTATGTATTGTTTTTAATACATATAATTTATAAAAAAATATAATTTTAAGAAATACAAATAAATACAAATTATCAAAATTCTCTCTTTTTGGGGATGTTATTATTGCAAGACTTAACATTCTATCATAGTATTTATAACCAACAAATATTGATTTTTTTTTACTAATTGGGAAGAAGTTGATTTTGTGGAGGAGTACCTGCAAAGATTTAGCAAGCAGAATATATGATAAATCTTGCAACGCGCATATCCTGAATCCATTCATGCTTGTTCATATTCATATAATATTTAATTAAAATAATATTTAAAATTTGATCTACTTGGGTTGGTTTTGTGGCAGTACCTGCACAGATTTAGCAGGCAGAATATGCGATAAATCTTGCAACGCCAATATCCTGAATACATTCATGCTTGTTCTTATTCGTATAATATTTAATTAAAATAGTATAAAATTTGATCTACTTAGAATTTTGAGGGTTCGGAATATATTAGAAAATTTAGTTATAGATGTCAAGAATGGTCTGAAGTTTCAGCACTAAAATCGACAATCGATAGTCTCTATATGTGAATATTAAAACATCTGATAAAATATCGCAAATCGAAAGTAAAATTGTATTTTCTAACGACATCATTGGGACACACCCAATATAAATAATAGAAAGAAAAACATTATTATTATGATAAATAAGAACGATGTGTGCGCGTGACGATTTCGTATCGTTTCTTTAATGATCTACTGCAGTCAGAGTATCGTTAACAAATATCGGTTACAGAATTTTTTGACGATAAAACCGCATCATCCGTACACTCGCGCCTTTGAAATCGAAAAATCTTATTACGCAGAAAAATCTGATCGGACGTCGGTAGAATGAATGTAATACAATATTTGCATTTGCTGCAGTTTTTAATGTAATGTAACGCAACGCTCGTCGCGCGAACGAGTTTAATGATCAGCGAACGTGACTCTACGCTCGCTGCCGTTCGCTTTTCTTCTTCCACGAGCCTTGACCTTCTTCGGAAACGCGAATTTCAAAGCCTCGAGATGTTCACTAGGTTCCTCTTTTGAAAGCTCATCACCGTCTCTCGCGCTATCGTCGGACGCGGTCTGTTGCAACGAACTCCAAAATTCACTCTGTGTGATACACGCAGTTATAATTTATTTGTAATGAATTATGACTTTTATTAGTAACATTTAATTTTAATTACAACTTGTAATTAAAAAATTACAATTGCAATTTATAATTTGTATTCACAAATTTACTATAATATATTATCGTAGGAGAACTTTTCTTTTACCTCGGTAAGAAAAGGTTACTCTTTGCGTATTCATGTTTACCTGATGGCATTGAGAGGTGGAAGTTGATTGATTCGGATCCTGTTTTGATGGTTGCGCGGTACGCGAACTTCTATCCAACAAAATTCGCTCCTTGCCGTTCTCCATTGATTGAGAATCGAGCGAAACGGATCCCACAACTTTGTTTCGTTATTATCGCAGACATGCACCTTCGAGATGCATATATAAAAGTTATTCGATTCTTTGTACTTTTAACACGATTTAAATAAATTTATTAACGCGCAGTGTAGAATTAGTATTGTTCTTACCGCAATAGCGTTTTTGAACGTAGAAAGCGATCTTATTGAGCTCTTAACAGCAGAAAGTAATCTTTGTGAAGTGCAGATTCTGTTCATTTTTGTTCATGCCAACTTTAAATATATATGATTTGCATAAGAATTATTTCCTCGGAGAAATTTCTGTTTTTCGTAACCAAAAAGATATTTTGTCATCACGTTTCACATTACGAAACAGATTACGATCGGTATTCCGGGACGTAAGTCATTACTCATTATTTATATTCGCTTTCCAATGCAAAATACAACATGAATATGCAGGCATATTTGCATTCGTGAAAGTGCCATAAAAGCGTAGTCGCAATTCCTCAAACGCAAAGAAGACAGAAAGATTTAATACATCATTTCCTTGTAATTATCCGCGTTTTCTATTCGTCCTTATTAAATATCGCGTTATGCATTCATCGCGTGCATGTTTCTGCCGTTTATGAAGAGCGTCATAATCATCGCGTTGCACAATACCGTCCGTCCAAAGTCGAGTGGATCTACGAAGCGTTACTTAATCCGTATAAGAGTGTTGCAGAACTTGGAACTTGGTCTACGTCGTTTCCGACCGCATTAACGAGCCAAGTTCCCGTTGTTGACGGCTGATACTCGCGAGGGAGTAATTTAATCGCGCACTTCGTTGCAGGCGGTGCAACATAGTTAATGAGTAGAATCGGCGAAGCAGTTCGCCAAAGCATTAGAACGAAAGCACGAAGTTGCACGGACAAGTTATGTACATATCAAAAGCAGCAGCGACTAATTGAAAAAAAAAAAAAAAAAATTAGCCGTGCTCACACGTATTCTGCAATACCTCATTAAATGCCTTAAATGCCACACCTCTCAAGAATCTCGTAAATGACACATGGGGTCTATAAAAGACCCCAGCATGAAAAATGTCTCCTTACTCATTGATTTTTTGATATTTAGTTATGAAAATTATTTTCAATGTTGTTCAAGGCTTAGAAAAGAGAATAAAATGCTTATATTGTTAAAATTTCAATTTCAACATAGTATAAAAAATTAAGTAAACTGAGTACTGCTAAGTGTACAACCGGGTAGGTCAATCTCTCAACTATCATCAATGGGAGCATGGCATGAGCTCCATTTTTGGGGGGAACATTTGAAAATATATCATTGTAAAGGGTCTGGGGTCCGCTGGACCCCGGATGGCATTTAAGGGTTAATGTTGTCATTATATGATCGTTAAAAGCCAAATTCCTTTCAAATTGACGTTTCAAAATTAATCGGTAAAATTGAAATAGACAACAGAATTCATTATACTAACAGGATTCGTAATATTGATAATAATCGGTATTAATTTGTCCAAATTGGATGAATTAGTCTCTGGCGAATTAATTGAAGAATTTATCACCGAAATTATGCTCTTTACACACATTACATCGCCCTATCAGGAACATCCAACGGAATTTACTCGATTTGAGTGTATTTCGACGTCCGACTGATTCAGCGCTCGCGATACGACGGCAATCAACTTTACTTAATGAACACTCGCCCGCGTGAAACGAGTGCATTTCTCCACGGACGCCTCGAGTTCGATTAATTCGGAACAAAGTTAAAGTCAGGTGACGTCCAGCCGGCAGCGCGAGCGAGCGCAATCGAGCGAGTGCAGCCGGGTAACGTAATACGGAGTCAGACTACCTGAGCGATCTGACAGCTCGGAATAAAATCGGTCGGCGCATCCGATCGTCCGGCACAGCTGGGTTTTACGAGGCAACATTAAATTACGAATAAATTTCACATAACACACCGAGCCGAAGCGTTACACAAATATGGTTGAAGAATAATAATGTAATCTGGTATGCACAAGAGAGCACCCGCACCCGCACAATTAAACTATTGGGACGAGTATATCAATAACGAAATTACTAATTAACGTAAATAATATGACAGTAAATTAATATTTTGTTACATATATATTAAGAGAAATTATAATTAACAAAATTTTATAAATAGCATTAATTGCGCCAGCGTATTCTGGATTACGGAGAAATATTATTAGTTGTTATGAAGAATTATATTGTCGATCAATCGCGACACATATTTCTCCTCATATTTAATGATTGGAATCTTAATTTATAATTTTGCTGGTTCCAGTGGTAATTTTAAAGTAACTTAAAATTTAAGTTGCTTAAATTATCCTTTGTCTTATATCTTGTATAATGCATATAATAATGTATTATTACGCAATGCCTCGGCCGAGAAGAGCCGGGTTTCATTGGAGCATGCTCTGTAGAAGAGACAAACGTCAGCGGCGAACAGATCGATTATTCGCGTCCATGGAAACCACGGTTGGACCAATGCGAAGAGACTATTCTCCTTTTTGGACAGGCGCATCTGCCTTTTCCACCCACGCGGATCTGACCATGCTATCATAATTTATTTATTTATTCATTTATCTGTAACTTTTCCAATGTGCCAAATATGCTTTACTTTAATTTGATTATACCTTTTGCATAATATCACATATCTTTCATTTTATTATTTTATTGTTTTATTCTGATTTAATTGTTGTTTTATATTATAAAGTGCATTTGAATAACAGAATTTCATTAAACATAATCTCTCAAATATTAGTTTCGTCAAATATCAGTTAAGCGATAAATTTAAAAGAACAATAAATAAATATATTTATATATCTACATATATATCTACCTTATAAACATATATAATATGTAATACATATACATATATACATATATATTTTACATAAAACATGCAAAATTATTATCGTCAATTAGTTAATAACATTAATTTCCACACATTAATTAATAAACAACATTAATTATTAAAATATAAACTGCATCACGTAAGTTAAATTATGTTACGTCGTAATAGAATTGAAAAGAGAGATAAACCAGACCATATTAAACCAGTTTACGCGTAGAAAAAAGGGAAGAGGGCGGAGCCACTTCTCG